CTGGCAGGACAATATAAGAAATGCTTCCCCAGAAAAGTGGCTCATATTAGGGGTGTTCACTCGTGTCTACCCAAGCCAAAAATATACCCCAAAAATACCTTATCAGTTTAAACCGCACTGCAGGAGAAGCCACCCAGCCAGGTCTGTGTGTGGCGGGGAGAGATCTCCCCGTGGCATGCAGATCCTGGGGCCATCTTCATTTGCTGCACAGTTTAAACTACATAGTTGGAGAAGCCAAGCCAAACCAGCCCCAGGATCGGGCTGGCTGTTTTTTAAACAAGGTATTTTTCTTCTCGGGTCTATTGGGTCTCCCAAAAATTGGGATTTCCAAACATTGGGATCCAACATTTTTCAAAAATACCGAATTTTGGGGGGGTCCAAAAATCAATTTAAAATAAATTGCACACACCTAGTTCATGTGTTACTCAGTAAATGAGGGAAGGCTTGTATTCAAGTCTCACTCTAGCTATTTTGGAGTCTAGAAGGAAGCAAGGCTCCATTTTGCTAGCATCCAATGTCGGAGATGATGACTAGACAAGTCTTACTTCTCTCTGCCTACCTCCACAGGGCTCCTGAAAAAAAACTGATGCCGGAGGATGCTTGGTGGCAGCAATGTCTAGCTTTAAGGCAACTAACTGTGCCATCCTAAGCAGAGCTGAACACTTCTAAGCCCATTGAAAGTCAATGGACTTAGAAAGTTGTAATTCTGTTTAGAATGGCACTGTAAATCTACATGCTCTGGCAGTGGCTTCCATCAGAAAAAAGTCCTCCATCACTGCCATGGTGGTTTGTACACAATGACCAACACGTGCAAATATACAGTGGACCCTCCAAAAACAGTTACACTCAAGCAGCTTTCTCTCTCTCTCCTTGATAACTCTGCCAACACAGATTCAGGAGGCTGACCAACTGCCTATATGGCTCAGCCCTTGTCTTTTTAACCCTCAAAACAACCCTATGAGGCTGACACTCTTAGCGTACCATGACCTAAGGTCATTCAATAAGTTCCATTGGCTGAATGGCGATCTGAACTCAGGTCTCCCCAGTCTTAACTACACTTCACCTTGCTTGTACTGGAGGTGTATCTACTATGCCCACTGGCACATGAACCTCAGGGGGACTAGCCAGCTAGCTTCCAAAGTCTGCTCTTGATCACTGCACAGAAACAATACTGCTAGTGAACTGAATTAAATAAGGTTTCAGTATGGGCTGATGAACTAGTTTCATTGCACACTCCTATTCTGCAGAGAACCCGTTTTGAAAGAGAGACTGGCTTTAATCTAGAACAAATGCACAGCCCTTTTACTTGGCTTTCTAATCAGCGGCTTTATGCAACAGAAAAGGAAGTCCAAGATGATCAGCAAAAGATCCATCAATCTAATTCTGAACATAACTTCAGGATAACATCACCTCTTAAACTGGTAGAGGAGAAAGCCACAGGTCAGCGCTAGAATATCTGCTTTGCATGCCTAAGGTCCAAGGTTCAATTCCTGGCATCTCGTGTTAAAAGGATCAGGTAATGAAATCTCTGGATATTACCTTAGATTCCTTACTTCTTACTTTTGAATCTGAGGCTTTCTCAGTTATAAGAACCAATATACTTCGCTTTTAGCTACACTCATTATATAATGCCGCCAACAAAACCTGTTCACCTCTGTACTTTGGAATATCTCCTAAAGTCGGCCAAACTGCCTCTTATCTTTATCAACGTCGCATCCCCAAACTTCGTAGAGACATTTCCTTGGCCAGATTTAATGTACTACCTACGGCCTTATTATCTGACCATTTCCAAGGTGTGCTCTTCACTGATAGATGCTGTCCATGTACAAACGAACACATCAAAACGATCTCCCATGTTTTGTTTCAGTGTCCCTTCTACCATGCGCTACGTCTGAAATTCTTAAACTCTATTTTGACTCAATTAGAAGAATATTCTGATGGTTTAAAGATTTATTCTTCTTGATAATCCAAATTTTGAGATAATGGAAACTGTTGCAAAATTTCTTTCTGGTGCCATTTCTATTGGCCCTTTATTTGATTAATTGGTTTTCTTTGCTGGTACATTTACATGGTAACCCTTCTCATACCTGCTCTTTTTGCAAGTAATATTTTCTGTTGCTGTTGTATAGGAGTCTGTAAGTGTTACATGCCAATAAAGGTGATTGGATTGATTGATATGAAAGTCCTTGACTCGAGACCCTGGCCAGCAACTGCCAGTGAGAGAAGACAACACTGCTGTTGATAGACAAATGGTCCAATTCTGTATAAGGCAGCATCATGTGTTAGCTAACAAAGACAGCACTAAAAAAAGTTTTCACAAAAAAATAATCTCAAAATATCTTGACACATAAATAAAAGATTAAACATGTTTAATTCCATATATATTCAGGTTTTAATTTTTTCATTGGAATCTATGCTTTAACTACATGAACACATGAAGCTGCCTTATACTTAATAAGACCATTGGTCTACCAAGGTCAGCCTTGTCTACTCTGACTCCCAGTGGCTCTACAGGGGCTCAGGCCAAGGTCTTTCCCATCACTTGCTACCTGGTCCTTTCAACAGGAGATGCTGGGGACTGAACTCGAGAACTTCTGCATGAAAAGTAGGTGCTCTAACACTGAGACACAGCCCCTCTTCAAAGGGTAGCCTAGGAGTGGACACCACAGCTGAATGCCACTGATAACTTACTGTGATTTTTTCATACCAAGTAGAGGAAGGAAGGCCATTACTATCCTTATAATTTAAAGGCAAAAATCTAACCTTGATTTTTATTCAGTGCAAAAAATTGGAGTTCATTTTGAACATGGTATGAATAGCTTAGTTGTTTCAGTTTATTCCCATAATTAGTGTACTAACAGGTCCAGCTTCTATAGTTACTCCAGCCTAATTCTACTCCACAATTTAGATTAGAATAATTGAAACCAGTAGACTCAGTGGAGAAAATCTCCAGTGATTTCCTATCATTATTTATCATCTATCATCATTAGCCATTCTGTTGCTAAATGTCATATTAAAACTAGTCTAAAAGATTTGGTTCATGGCCTAGTAAGGTCTTCTAGATTCTCTACAAGTTTGGGGTTTTTTGAAGCAATGTACGAAGAGTGTCAGACATAAGTGTGAGCAGAACACAGCTTTTCCCATTCTTATTTAAAAATTAGGCAGTCTTATAGTGCTCAGCCATATAGCAAACAGTCTGAGTTGCTTTATGAAAACAGATGGCTTTTGGCTGACAAGGCCAAGCGACCTGTTAAAATCAACCAGTGAATTGTTTTGATCCTGTGGCTGCCAAGGTCCTATTCCCTTCATTCTGTCATAGCAGGGGCACATTGTATTTAAAATAGAGAACTGGAGATTATTGTCAATCTGGCTACTGGAAAGATGTAGATTAGGACAGGGAAGAGAGTGCACCGGCATCAAACTCCCCCAAAACAACAACAACAAATCAGCAAGAAGAGAATATTCCCATTCTTTATACAATTGGTTTGAGTCCTTCAAGGAGCTCAATATTTTGCTTGTCCCAACCTCCAAGAAGCCCAAGACAATCAATCCACTATCCCAGTTTCTTTGTTATTTGGGATTTGTTGAGAATGGTATAGTTGAATTATTTTCTTCTGCACCATTTCTGCCTCAGCACTACAGCAATTCTGATCTCCCACTAAGTCCTCTTGAAAGAGAGCCAGGAGTTACTCATCACAGCAGAGCGAAAGGAGTAGGAGAACCCTAAACTCCTACCTGCATAGACTCCAAGAGTTCATAAGCAAGAAGATTTTTTTTGAACCCTAGAACTGAATAATAAAAGAGGACAGGACAGTACTATGGAAGCAGCAGCAAACATGAGTGAGATGTTTTGTGATGGCAGAATGCAGAGGTCATATGACTTCACGCCATATCGTTCTCTACACACGTTTTAAGATCTGAATGATTCTAGTCAACCAGACACAGTGATCAGCCTTATCAAATAAGGTTATATTGCTAGTTTGTGAAGCAGATTTTTAGAAATACACATTTTGTGTTGTTTCATGTTTTTCACCATGAATATTAGTCAGAGACCCAAAATTATTTTTAATGTAATTTCAGGAGGGTAGCCATGAAGAGCTAAATTAGAGCCCAGCAGCACCTTCGAGATCAGCAAGATTTCAGGGGTATAAGCTTTCTAGCGTCAAAGCTCCCTTAGTATCTCATGAAGGGAGCTTTCAGTCTCACAAGTTTATACCCCAAAAATGTTGCTGGTCTCTAAGGTACTGGTGGACTCAAATCTAGTTCTTTTTAAAACATGTATATAAGGCAAATCACACCAAAGCTCTGTATACTTAGAAGCTCTGAAAGGGTAAAGCATAAAATGAACAAATATTAATAAAGCTCCAAGTAATTCTCTTTGTCCAGCTACCATGACTTGTGCCTCAGGAAGAGAACATTTAGCTAGTTCAGTCACCCCAAGCAATTTTAAGCTATTTCAATATAATCTGAAAACAAGTCATACAATCCACTATAGTAAAAGTCTTTTCCTATGCCTTTTCCCTGTAAGTTCAAAACACCAAATTAAAACTATCTTAAATAGCTTACCGAGGTATGACCTCTTTATACACACATATAATGTTCTGCACAAGAGACATGTGAATACAGGGATTTCCACAGACAGGGCTGGATCCATCCAGCTCTTTTACTCAATCTTGCCCAATTCCCCTCCTTACTAGTGTCCCCAACCCACGTGACTTTGGTCCAAGCAGGTCCCATGGCCATTTCTGGTGGTCAAACCAGGTCCTTCCTTCCTTTTTCAATAGCAAGAAAACTGGCTGGACCCAACTCAACATGCCAACAACATCTAAATATGTATTTTCCCAACTGTACCTCCATCCCTCCCCCCAACACTAATGCAAACAAGAAAGTTCATAAACATCTGAAGTATCATACACCAAGGAATAGGCTTGCTTGTATTCACTTTATCCAAAAGTCAGCACACATTCAACCTCTGACCCCAAACACAAAAAGATACTCACCATCATCTAAGGTGATGTCTTGCAGCCCTATTGTCTGAAAATTCAGCTCTCTATCCTCAGGTTCAGGCTTTACGTTAGCCTCCTCTGGTGAAAATGGAGATGCATCACAAACATTATGATGTATCAAGGACGAAGCTGCAGCAATTGCTCCTAAACCTGGACTGTGTGCCTGAGGCGACTGTTGCCCAGAGTGACTAACAGTAGCTGGAGGTGGGGTTGAGGAGGCGGGTCCTGAGCTAGAAGTCTGGTAAGGCATGGGCTGTAGTTGTGGAGAAGACGGTCCAGATCGCGGTGAATGAACCATAGAATGAGAAGATTTGGGGGATGTTGAGGAAGTGTTACCTGGATTTGAAGAATGGTAAGCCACCTGCTGCAGCTGAGCGGAAGGGTGTCCGAGGGACTGAGTCATTGCAGAAGGGGCAGAACTCTGCCGAGGATTTGGACAGTGGTACCCCATTGATTGAAGATGAGGCGACGACTGTCTTTGTGGAGCAGGGTGTGATGAAGGATGGCCTCCCACTACAGCTGAAGTTGACACAGAACCCAGATTTGAAGGATACGGCATTGGTGGTAGAGGCTGGCAGCTAAGGTTTATCAACTGAGGTACAGCTGCTGCATCCTGTTGAAATGAAATCGCATCAAATCCTTGGCTGGCAGAGGCAGAGTTCATCGGAAGACCAGACTGTCCGTTAAACATAACATTCGATTGCATAGGCTGGTAGGAAGGCCTCGCAGAAGGTGCTGATGTTACCTGAAAAGACTGGTGGACAACAGCTGGAGACAGAACAGGATGCTCTTCACCTGGGTTAATGTTTCTACCTTGGATGTGCGACAGCTGGGATACCGAGGAGGACACCATGGGTGTATACGCTTGCTGAACTGGGCATACAAGGCTCCTAGGTGATGTAGAAAGTAAACCTTCATGGGAGAGCCCTGAATCTGGCGAAGACAGCTGAGTCTGAAGAGAAGGGAGTCCTTTAACACCAGCACAATGGGTCACGGACAATGATGAAACCGAAGCTAAATCCATTTCATCTCTGTTCTCTTGTTTCAGGACAACTGTAAAGTTAGGAAATTGGTGAATTAAAATTCACAAGTACCAGTGTTCACCACATTAACCCTGTAAGAAGCTGCACTGTCCCAAGTTGGACCCAATGGCACATCTTGCCCAATACTCTCAATACAAATAAATAGCATTAATTAAAATACCAATATAGATATTCTCCCCAGCTGTCCTATTCATGGTCCTGTTTTAAAGGGAAGCAGATGAACCTACAATCTTCTGCATGCAAAGGAAGTGTATAATCACTTGCTATATCTCGGTTTAGTATGTGAGAATGAAATAAAAAGAAAAATGTACATCATCTCTAGTACACAGATAGATGTCTCCCTCCTCCCCTCCCATTTTATAGGCAGACTGGGATTCTTAGACAGCATCAGGACAAAGATCTGGCTAGAGAACCTTTCCCTCTTAATCAACCACAAAGAGTTATTTCCTGGCATTATTTATACATGCTGTAGCAACAGTCAGGATAAGAAGACAACATTTGCTTTCAAATATGTATCTGTGCATACTGAAATGGCATTTCTTTTACAACTCTATGTACTGTTACTTTACAGATTTTGATTTTTTTTTCCACTCCAAGTAGTAACACTCTGTCCATATGAACAAGACAACATATATCTCTACTGTGGAAAAAAATACTGGGAATGAGAAGTATGTCACAAATAAGAGACTGTTTATATATGATCACAGAAGTTCCCCACAGGCCACTTATAAAAGAACCTCTGGTATGTATGGAGGCAGTATGGAAATAATTTAGAAAAGTAAAATAAAATTAATTGCACTTCTACCTATTGCATATAGCAGTGACCTTCTCATCTTTTTGCAAAAGTTGTTTTCCGTTTTATTAAAGTTTCCATTTTATTAAAATAGTTATACCTTGCCTTGCCCTCATAAAGGTAGCCAAGGCAATCCTCTTCCCAACCATACTGCAATAAATTTATCTAGCATTTACTGTGAAGGGATCTTGGTCTGCAGATTATAGCTGTTTGGACCCAAACGTGAAAACTAGACAAAACTCAAGGAGCTGCCTTCATTTTACCCATATACTAGAATCATACTCCTAGACAGGCATACCACAGGTGGTATGAGCAGGCATAACACAGGTGGTATGAGCATGTACAGCTTGACATATTAGCAGTTTTTACTGCAGCCAATTATCCAGCTAAATGGGCAAAATAAATTCCCCCAATTTGCCCACTTGGACAAGATCCAATTGAAGAACTGAAGCTTTGAGGAAATTTACTGCAGCCAATTATCCAGCTAAATGGGTAAATTAAGAGAAAACAAGTATGTCCAAATCTTGTTGTACGCTACACTTAAAGGAAGTTGCACATACTTGGAGTGTAAGTAAAACGCTGAGACTGGCTTTTTTTCCTCTTGCCGTTGCAAACGTAGAACTGCACCTGGACAGCAGCCGAAACTGCTTTGTTGTGGTACGGAGGAACTTCAACAACAATTGTAGCCTGAATGAAAAAAGTGAATAACTTGCATGTCAAAGTCAAGGGCAAACCTTCAGAAAGCAGTTTCTTCTCAGAAGCCACCAGATATCCTGCCATCTGGCAAGGCGCTTGCGCCACGTCCTGAAGTAAGAGCTACAGTGTAGAGCCTTAAATGGTGGCACCTTTTCCCTTGAATGGCCTTCCACAGCAAGCCCACTAAGGCCACCACACCGACCACATACATACTGCTGTAGCCACCCCAATCCAGCCAACTCTGTCTCTTGTCACTTGCCCTCTATAGTTATCATTTGTCACTTTCTACACAACATCCATTATGAGCTCTGACATTTCTCAGTTAAACACTGTTTATAAGATGTTGGCTTGGGTAGGGGGGCAGAAGGCACCAACAGGAGCAGGATCTCCCCTCCTCACAGCCAGCTCCTAAGTTCTGTAAACACATCTGCATACCTGTTAAAGAACAACACCAATGAACTACTATGACTTTCTCTCCTCTCTAAGGAGAGATTCCCGGTTTCTAGCAGAAAGATATGGATACCCATACTATGAAACATTTGTCTTAATAGTTACAACATACAAATATTGAAATAAAGACAAAATAGACTCCCCGTTTAAAAGAGATCTCACCTCTTGACTCCTTTCCCTAATTATTTTTCCTTCTACCTCCCACTGAGGCCGTCCATCTGGCAAAAGAAAGGTTTTAGTTTAAGTATCAAATTATTCAAAAAATCATCCAGCTGGTAAGGATAAATATATGCAAACTGCAAAAATTCTTAATAGCTGTTTTCATCTGGGAGCAAGATGTTTTTTTAAGCGGAACAAAGTCTTCAGTAGCCGTGCTGAGAAAAGCTGGAACAAAAGGTGAAGGGAGAAGAAAGGACTTGACAGCACAGAAAGGGCAGTACTGTGTAAAAGAGGCTTCAAAAAGGAATTTGAAGGGGAGCAGAGCAGTTGCCACACCGAACGATGCTGTTCTGACATAGCATAAAAGAAGACCCAGAAGAGTCTGGGACTTTTCAGTTTAGAAAAGAGACAACTAAGGAGAAACATGATAGAGATTTTCAAAATTATGCACGGGATTGAGAGGGCAGACAGAGAGAACTTTTCCTTCCTCTCCCAAAATACTAGAACGTGCGGGCATCCAATAAAGTTTGTTGGGCTACAGATCCAGGACACAACAAAAGAAATACTTCTTTGTACGAGTTATTAAAATGTGGAATGTGCTGCCAGAGGATGTAGTGATGACCACAAGCATAGATAGCCTTAAAAGGGGATTAAACAGATTCATGGAGGACTGGTTTGTCATTGGCTACTAGCCACTGATATTCAGAGGCAGTAAACATCTGGATCCTAGTGCCAGGAGACAGCTTAAAGTGGAGGCCTCAGCCTTTATGTCCTATTGTTGGCCCTCCAGAGGAACTGGTTGGTCACCGTGTGAGACAGGATGTTGTACTGGATGGATCACTGTTCTCATCCAGCACGGCTCTCCTTAGGTTATGATTTTATGTTCTATAAATGAACCAATGAGAGGACACAAACTGGAGGTGCAGAGACTGAGGGCCACACTAGTCAGCATCTGCTGAAGTCAGTGAACACACAGCTCCACAGCCAGGGCAAATGTGCTGTCGTCCCCTCCACAGTAGTTTCAGCTTGGGAAATTGCTGTGTGGGGAGGAGACTAAAGCCCTCCCACACATCACACTATTGAGCCAAATCAGGCCTGGAGCTCTTGGGAACCTTAGTTCCCCAATGGCCTATCTGTGAGTTGTTTCCGGGAATCAGACCCAATTTGTGGCAGATATCGCATCTGGTTATTGGCCCCCGAGAGCTGCTTCACACATGACAAAAATAGCCAATTCATCAGGTGCAGAAAAGTGGGCAGTGAAGTAGGCCTTTGCTGTGGAAAGATCCTGCACCAAGAATAAAAATGCGTTTTTTTAAAAAAAAAAAACAAGAGAAGCAGCAGCATCGGAGAGACCTGAGTTTATCCAGTTTTCTGTTTTCTACCTAGTTTTACTGTCAGAACTTGTTTATAATCAGAACTGCCGTAGCTGTTGCCTTAGAACAAAGGGCTGATGCCTTTCTCATCAGCATACAATTACCATCAGACACTTATTATTAAGGTTGCCATCCTGTGATAATATTAGTAGTAAAGCCACCAACAGCTTGAGGAATGTGTTAACTGCAATGAAGCATTACACAATAGCTAGAATATAGTAGCAACTATACTATGGCTTTATGGGACAGTGTGCTCCTTTTAAGTGTGTTTGAATCATACCGATTCTTTACTAAGAGCAGCTCTACATACACTCACTGTGAACATCAATAGCTTTTCATTCCTCAGCATCTAGTAGGGTTGTCAGCCTCCAGACAGTAGCTGGAGATCTCCTGGGATTACAACTGATCTCCAGGCAACAAAGATCAGTTCACCTGGAGAAAATGGCTGCTTTGGAAGGTGGACTCTATGGAATTATACCCCACTGAAACCCTTCCCTTTCCCAAATCCTGTCCTCCTCAGGCTCCACCCTCAAAATCTCCAGGTGTTTCCCAACCTGGAGTGGGCAACCCTAGCATAGCATCTAGGTTCAAGTTATTCACAAACAGCTTTAATCTTGGAGAATTGCCAAAATGTTTTGGGGGACTTTTAATTAAGTCTGTCTCTATGGGAGCCAAAGTGAGGGGGGAAATGCAAGCTCTTCATTACTAAAATACAAGATGGAGGAGTAAGGAGAGAATAAAACTCTTCTTTTTCCCAAAACTTTAAGAACGAATGTTTTGGGGAATGCCACAGATTAATGCTCAATACGATTTATACCTAGCTAAAAGGAGGATTTGGGGCTGAGGCTTTTAGAACATCCACTACAGTATTATGAATACATTAGGGGGTTATTACATGTTGGGTGCGTTCAGACGGGGCATTTCTGCCGGCATAAACTGTACCGGTTGGAACCGGTGCAGTTTATGCCAGCAGAAACGCGATCACACTTACCTCCCTCACAGCGGAAGCCATCGCAATACTCCCGTCCACACTCGTCTTCGGGGGGTTTTTTTACTTAGTTTGCGCATGCGCATAGGCAGCCATCCATAGAATGGCGATCTTCGCACATGCGCAAAAAACCCTGTTGTACATTTAAACTTTAAAGGTAAGGACTTACCTTTAAAGTTTAAAGAGCACAGTAGCCTCCCGGAGGTCCCGGACACCTCCGAAACGCTACAGTAAGGCCCTTTTCTTTTTTTATATACAAACGGCAGGGCGAAGCT